TTGTCTCCCTTTATATTGTACAGCGCTGAGCAAACTGTTGGCGCTATATAAGTCCTCTATAATAATAATAATAATGATATAAATAATAGTATTATTAATGATATTACTTATTGACATTTTATCATCATGTGTGATCGAAGCAATGCTTATGCAAGCTGTCATCAAAACATGGTAACTGATCCAGTGTTTGAGAGAAAACAAACAGTTTATCCAGCATGCTTCAAATGTACATTTTACTTGAACACATTGTCTGGCTTATTTTTAGCTGAATTAAAAACATTAAAACTTTTATGAACTTTTTTTTTTCAGTTTTCCCAGTTATTACATGCAGAATCTTTATGAACTGTCCCTGCTGCCTAGGATCTCAGGCCCTACAGCCTAATCCTTTCCTACCAGGTTCAACATGTATCAGAGAACAGCAGTGAAACCAGCAAAGCCATACAATATACCATGTTATTAACTGCAGTGATTTGATTTTAATAAAGCATTTGTGGTTTAGCAATATTAGTACATGTGAGAAATACCAAATGTATTTTTAAAATGTCTTTGGGTGTCCCTCATACTAATACCCTAGCTTTCTGCTGACTCCAAGAATTGTTTGTGTCCCCTCTGACAGTTTGGATTAGCACATGTGTTCCCTGTCTGAAGGGCTGCCAGGCAGGAAAAACGGCTTGGAGCTCTGCCATTCATGTCTATTGCTCACATTAGACCCCTGAGTACAAGGTGTAAAGATCTGAGCTACCATGGGAAATACATTTCTAGAACACTATAAACCTAATAACTATATATTAACAAGGAAGAAACTAAATAGTAAACTCAGTGGACTTTTTTAATTTAGCACAGATGTAATATTACCTGGATAGCATTAGCAGCACACAGGCTGAATCTATATATTTGGGGCAATGCATGTGGTCAGTGTGGCTCTTCCTGCAGTTATATGGGCAATGCAATTTCATCAATGTATATACCCAATGCCGTTTCACTAGAATAGTGGTCTCCAAACTGCTGCCAAACTGGGGCCAGATGTGGCCCTTTGCTTGCCTTTTATTGGTTCTTGGGGCACTATTCCAACAACTGACACCAATGATTGGGCACCATTCCCCCTACTGACACCATCAATGGGGCACTATTCTTCCCATTGATGCCAACAATGGGGCACAATTCCTCCCATTAGACCCAGTGATGGGGCACTGTTTTTGGGGCATTGGCAAAAGTCCACCCCCCCTAAAACCTGAAAGGCAGTCAATTGGACCTTTAATTGTTTATAGCATGCTGCCACCCAGTGGTCATTGTTTTAATTGCATGTTACTTCTGTAATCTCCTCCTTTCTCACTTGTCAACTACTTTGTTGTTCCTACAAGATGCACATTGAGGTTAGGAATATTAATATTCATTTGACCACTTTAAACACTTCAATATCAACATCATGTTGCTTGCTTCAACCTTCTGCGTACAATGATACAGGGCATAAAGTATTCAGACTCCCTTCACTTTTTTCAAGGTTGTTGTGTTTGAGCCTGATACTACAGTTGTTTACATTCATGTTTTTTCATTAATCTTACGTGAAAACAGAATTTTAGAAATATCTGTGAATTTATTGAAAAGAAAAAAAAAAAGAAATATCACATGTACTTAAGTATTCAGACACTTTGCCTAGTATTTTGTTGAAGCGCCTTGGCCAACAATTACAGCCTCAATTTTTTTTGGACATGACACAACAAGCTGTGCACACCTGGATTGGGGGGATTTTTTGCCACTCTTATTTGCAAATCCTCTCAGTCAGGTTGGATGGGGACCATCAGTGGACAGCTATTTTCAGGTCTCTCCAAAGATACTCAATAGTAGCTGAGACACACTAGGGCACAGGGGCGGACTGACTATTTGGAAACTCGGGCACTGCCCGAGGGCCCGGGGTCAGTAGGGGGCCCCATGAGATGCCCCTGGTACCTTTTTCATAGGCTTTTTTGAGTTTGGGCAAGGACACAGGGGCCCCATGATCCCCTATTGCCCGGGGGCCCCATGAGTTGTCAGTCCGCCCCTGCTAGGGCATGCACAGAGTTGTCCCTAATCCACTTCTGTATTGTCTTGGCTGTGTACTCATGTTGAAGGTAAACCTTTGGCCTAGCCTGAGATCCTGAGAGATGTAAAAAAGGTTTTCCTTGAGGATAACTGTACTTTGCTCCATTCAGCTTTCCCTCAACCCTGACCAGTCTCCCAGTCCATGCTGCTACCAGAGAATCTTGTTCCCCATAGACTAAGAGTCCTTCAGGTGCTTTTTTGCAAACTCCAAGCAGGATTTTGTGTGTTTTGCAGTGAGGAAGGGTTTCTGTCTAGCCACTCTGCCATAAAGCCAAGATTGGTGGAGGGCTGCAGTGATGGTAGATACATTATACATTGTCAGCTGTGAGGTCTTTCAAAGAGACGTGTGTGCTTTTCTAAATCATATCCAATCAATTTAGTTTACCACAGTTGGACTCCAAGCAAGATGTAGAAACATCTCGTAATGGTCAAGAGAAACGGGAGCACCTGAGCTAAATTTCAAGTGTTGATGCAAAGAGCCTGAATACTTATGTCAACGCAATATTTCAATTTTTTCTTTTTCATACATTTGCAAACATTTCTAAAATTTTGTTTTCACTTTGTCATTATGGGGTACTAGGTGTAGATTAATGAGAAAAAATGAATTTAAACTGTAGTATCAGGCTGCAACATAACAAAATTGAAAAAAGTGAAGGGGGTCTGAATACTTTATGAATGTACTGTATGTTTTCATGAATGCCAAGTGTTTGGTGAGTTCAGCTCTCTCATGATGATTGTCTGCAGTGATTGTCTCTGATAAATTCAGGCCAGACATAGTCATCTTAGGAAAGAATAAGTCATTATTACAACATTTGGAGTCAGAATAGTGGCTTTCCTTCTAATATTTTCCAAAATAACTTCTAAATGTCCAGTTTTGGGTATCAGATTACTTTTCATTGCAAGAAAATGAATTCCTTAACAATGGCTATCCTCATACTCACCTACCTTTGCTGCCGGGAAAAATCAGGTTATTACCAGCTTGGCTAGGGAGAGATTAGTGTACCAGTGTAGGGTTGTCCCTAAAAATCCTAATCTTTGAGGAAGATGGCTAGTGGAACTGGCTTTTGCCGCCGCATTCCTACTATGACAACACTTGCTCTAAAAACCTCACCTAGACCACACTTAAAGCGGAGTTCCACTCACCCTGTCAAAAACTGTAGCTGCTGATTTTTAAAAAACAGCCACTTACCTGTCCCTCGGTCCCATGGTGTGTCCCCCGCAGCCCGTTTCACTGGCCATCCTGTATTCCAGGAGGCTGGCATCTTCAGTCTGGGCACCCGGCTGTGATAGCTTGCGGCTTCACAGCCAGGTAACCACTGCACATGCGCAAGTAGCACTGTGCTTCATGTAGTCTTCTGGGACCTGTCACATGTCCGAAAAGACTACAGGGAGCGAGGGAGGTAGGCGATCGGACCGGAAGTGGAGTGGGTACCTGTCAAATTCGGGTAGCCGCTCCTTCCCCCCAGCCCCCCAAAGATGCCAATCCCTAATGGGGAGCAGGGGAGCAGTCCTTAAAGCGGAACTTCCCCTTTGGGTGGAGCTGCGCTTTAAAATGTTGCATGGTTTATTTGAAATGTCTTTAATGCAGTTCAGTGGGATCACCTAATACTTGTTGTACATATGGAGTTAGGCTTTATAGTCAATAAGACAAGTATAACTAATCTATGGTAACAAAAATCCACCTATTGTACATTATATCTATTATACATACTCTGTATTATAGATGGGTATCAGTACCACTGCAGCAATAAGAATATTTTGCTATCTCCTGTTGGAGTAAATGAAACTGTAGAATAAGTGTTTGTATCGGATGGTTTGATTGCTAAAATCTTATAATGTGAAATACCTTTAATAGAAATGATTTGATTTAAAAAAAATAATTTGCCAAAAATACAGGACATTTTTAATTAAACAGGTCAATGAATTTAAAATCTGCCTCACCATTTGTGTCCATAATCTGGTGAAATCTGCCACAACTATAAAAGTTCCCACCTTGGATTGTGGACAGTCCTAATGTACTGTATATGCTAAACTAAGCTGGTCCACTTTTCTGTTTTCTTACATCACCACCATCACCAAAAGCCATAACACTCATCAGTTCATGAGTTCACCATGGCCCCATATACATGGTGGTCATAAAGTACTTTCACAGACTCCTCCTTTTCTGGCACTGACTCCTTCCCACTGCACCATAACAACCAAAAATGGTTTTGAAAACAACAACAAAAATAGGTGTGGGTTTTCTTAAAAAGATATGTATCTGACCCTTATTATTCAGTGTTTGGTATGTAATTAAAGAGGGAACCATGTTTTAATTTTTAAATGATGAATGGTAACCAAGAATGACATTTCTCTAGTTGTCAGCTGGATCTTAACAAAGGGGCTGGAGGACCACGTTTGGACATGACCAGGGGCGGACTGACAACTCATGGGACCCCCGGGCAATAGGGGATCATGGGGCCTGTCAGGAATGGACTGGCCAGCAATAGTGGGACTCAGCTGCCTTATGAGCTGCAGTACCAGGGCTGGCAAGCGGGTGCTCCCAGCAATCAGAGACTCAACCTTGCAGCCAGTCAAACACCTGGAACTAATTATACTGGTGTATTTAAGGGACATTCAGACCTGCAGACTCTGCCTTGGTGTTGTGTTTCTCTTGGGCCCTGTATCCTGTTCCTGCTCCCTGTTCCCTGTTCCTGTCTGATTCTCTGCTGACCCTGCTCTGATCCCTGGCTTGTCTGACCATTCTCCTCTGCCTGACCCTCTGTACCACGCTGCCCGCTACCTGCTGAACCTGGCTTGTGACTCCGACCATTCTCCGCTTGCTCCCCCTGTACCTACCTGCCCGATTGATATTGACCCGGCCTGCCTAACGACGCTTGCATTGTATGTACTGTTATCTGTGGGTGGTTGGTTTGGTTTGTTTGCACTGTGTTATGTTTTAGTATTGCACTGCGTTTATGTTTGTATTGTTAGTGTTAATAAATTACATTGTTTATAACATATCTGAAGTCTGCGTTTCCCTGCGTCAGTCACACACCTCTGGTCACACCCGGGAGCCCTGACAGGGCCCCTGTGTCCTTGCCCAAACGCAAAAAAGCCTATGAAAAAGGTACCAGGGGCATCTCATGGGGCCCCCTACTGACCCCCGGGCCCTCGGGCAGTGCCCGAGTTTCCAAATGGTCAGTCCGCCCCTGGACATGACCATATTTAGTCTATTAACGTCGGCCCTTTCCACCAAGAAATTAATGCTGCAGCAGGATGTCTGCACAATTATCAGCTCAAATAGTTCTCCCTGTCCCTGAACAGGCAGGATTTGGTGTGAACCCCAAACTGTTGCAAACCCAAACCACATTCCTAGTAAAAAATAATCACGGTATATTAAATTGTATAAAATGTTTATTCAATATAATGATAAAGTACGTGTCATCACTGTAACCTGCCCAACGTGTTTCATTTCAAAAGACTTCATTGGGGGCTGCTCAGTATTTACTTACTGTTGAAAATTAGAGAAAAGTGTTATGCTCTCGCTCATATCAACCCATCAACTTAAATATATATCTGGAAAGGTGTGCAGATGAAAAATTATAGGTTATATACTGTATATTCACAAATATGTGTCTTATCTTTTTTTGGGGTTTTTGGTTTTTAATTATAAGCATTTAAGTTTTTTTCCCTCTGAACCATACCAGGTTTGCATTACAGAAAATGTAATGATAATGATGATGATGAAGCATGTACTTAACCAAAACACTAACAGAGCAGTAAGCAGAAAGGGAAGCTGTCTGTGATAAATTGAGAAAATCAGTCACTGGTAATGGTGGCGTATCTGTTTATTTCATGGAAAGGTGCTCAAAAATCCTGATTTCACCTTCAGAGATGATGACATGACAGGACAGTACAGGTAGTAGGGGAGAGGGGCCTCATAATAAGAAATTGAAATTCAAGGAAAGCTGGGTATTGGAGCTCAAAGTATTACTAGACCTACAACAGTAAAATCGGTCTGTATATGCAGTAAAGCATGCTTGTTACAGGTATACTCAATGTGGAACTTAAGGGGTTAATCCTCCATATTCTGTAAAAAGGCTGTTTGATTCTGTCTTCTCTGATCCTCCCCTTCTTCTACTGTCACCAATCAATTTGCTGATAGTACAGAGCTCTAGGAAACACTCTGCACATGTTCAGTCTAGTATGTATGGCTAGAGAGGTTTTTTCTTTGGGATGGTGCATGCGATCAGTACAGGACCAATCAGTGCTGTCCAGACAGATGGTCGGGGGTCATGCAGCCTCATAGGACAGTCAGAGCATATTGAAAACTCCTTCTACAAACTTTAATCAGAGCTCAGCTGGACACTGATAGAAGTCACAAGACGTCTATATACTGCTGACGAGAAAAGGTATTTAGTAGTTTATATTTTTAATAAAATATGTTGCATTTCCATGTTGTGTGTACTGTGGGAGACCAGATATAGTGAATGCAGGGTCATGGGTTTAGTGACACTTTAACTTCATAATGTGCAAATGTCAGAAACCCTGAAGAATTCCCCCATTTTGTTTTAACAGAGATGGTCCAAATGCATAGCTACTCATTGGTCGACTTTTGCAGCTGTTCCCTGTCCATGTGAAAGTACAGCTAAGGAACACCATTGTAACAGAAATGAGTACATTGGGAGCCTAAACAGTACTACAGTGACTAAACTTCCAGCAATATGGAAAGGGAAGCATTTATTGGTTGACGATTGTATTACAAAGTCTATATTCCATTGCATGCGCACACACACTCCACGATGGCTTACTAATAATGGAGGAGGAGGAGGATTACACAGCAGGTAAAAGATGAAGCTGATTATTGAGAGCAGGCTTATTTATTGAACAGTGCAAATAGAAAAGCACTAACTTCAAGGTGAAATAACTCCTAGGAACCACTCAAAATGTACATTACTGAAAACATATAGAAGATTGCTTTTGATCAGTTGCAATTACTAATTGCTAATTACTAATAAGTCCCATTGAATGTGCTAATGGAGAATTCAGAAGGAATCCAAAAAGTGTATTTATAATTTTATTGAATTATTAAAAGTTTTCCCAGCTGTTTTCCATAATGCTTTATACAGGATGTGACATTAAAAATAGAAGTGGGATTATATCATAGATATTCTGTTAATTCGGTTATATTGTAAACTATAGTTTCTTAAATGTGGATCCTCCCCTGAAGGATGATAGAGGGGTGTAAAAATAGGGTGCTTTGTGCCTGGAAAGAAGGAAAAGGTACTGGCCAGGTTGGCTGAGGGGTTCCTGACACAAGTAGCGTAGGTATATGCAGGTGATTACACGCATGAAGCTGGAAAGCAATTCCTCCTAGCAGGAGATCCACCAGAGAAGAATGGCTGGAAGAATACTTCACCTGATGTACTAATTATGTCTTAAGTAGCCATCCTTTTATTTCTATTTTGTTGCCCATGCATATTGCAATATTTATTACACATTCAGTACATATGTGCCACATAAGAATCATCCTTGTTACTGTATGTTAATGTGGTTTTGCCATCTATTTTTATGTTCAGGGGGAATGGGGGGGGGATGCAGGCTTATCTCCCCTTTTCCTGGTGTTGGGAACTGGATCACCTGCTGAAAGGCACTGTGGTCCATGAATATGAAGGTTACAGTTCTGGTGTCTGGATGTCTCCTGGAAACCAGCAGGTCCCTGGAATTATTCTGCACCTGGCTGCTGGGATGGTATTTAACTCCTCCTTTAGAATCTCTCATTAACCTGTGTGCCCATGCTCTCTGCTCCTTGTAGTCTGTAATCCTGATCCTAACACTTTCCCAAAGAGCGCAGGGCTAATGTTAACTTTTGGAACACGGCAGCTATTGAGCTTTCTTGCTTTCCTTCCCACCAACAGGATAAACCATACTGTCCAAAAGGTAAAGTTTAATTCAGTGTTTTCTCCCTTTTTATAACATAGATCATTGGGGGGGGTCTCCGGCCGGCTCCGTGTATGGACGCTCCTTAACAGAGCTCCTCAGCCATCCCAGCTGTAACAACGGCTCCATCATGACTTGCAGGTTCCTGGCACCCTGCAGTGACGGTTACACTCCCCTGACTGCTCCGACACTATGCCCTGCCACCAAAAATCTCCTGGTCAGCCACAAAAGCTGACAGACTTCTACCCGGCCCAGGATCTTCACAGCCAAGATGGCGCTGGCGGCCTGCAGAGTGGTCCCACCGCTCTCACAGAGGAGAGATCCGACTACACATCTGACCCACAGCTGACCATGCCTCTCTACGACGGGGACCTGGGTGAGTCTTCTCCTCCACTATCCCCTACAACAGGAAGCCCTGCTAAATCAAGGCCCAGGATAGAAGAACCTACACATACAGCATTGCATATATCTACCCTCCTTCACACTTCTGCCTCACAACTACAGTTAGCTATAGAAGCATTCTCGGACTATGATCAGCCTATATCTGAAGTAACAATGAAAAATATGCTTCTTTCTTTAAGACAAACTCTACATAATGACATTGCAGCCACGATAGCTCCAATATCAAACACTGTACATAAACATGCCCTATGCTTGAACCATGTTGAATCCAAAATGAGCAAACTGTACAAGGCCCATACCCACATGGTAGATGCTCATATAGACTACGATACTGAACTACTATTAAAACTCCAAATAGCTGACCTAGTAGACCGCTCAAGATGGAATAACATTAAATTCCGTGGCATCCCAGAGTCGGTTAATACCCTGATGTCTTATCTTCAACAATTGATGAAACATCTCATTCCAATGCTTAACGATATAGAACTAGCGATTGACAGAGCTCACAGAATTCCAAAAACGTCCTTCTTACCAGCCTCAGTCCATAGAGACGTATTGGCACGAATACACTTCTACCACGTCAAAGAGAAGCTTATGGCTGCAGCAAGAAACCCAACACCTCTCCCTGCATCCTACACAGGCGTCAAACTACAGTTGCAAGAAAAAGTATGTGAACCCCTTGGGATTACATGGAGTTTTGCATGAATTGGGCATAAAATGTGCTCTGAACGTCATCTAAGTCACAACAATAGAAGAACACAGTCTGCTGAACATAATACTACACACACATTAGATGTTGCCATGGTTTAATTGCACATAACATGTAAACATTCACAGTGCAGGGAGGAAAAAGTATGTGAGGCCCTAGCTTAATAACTTCTACCAGAGCTAATTGGAGCCAGGAGTGAGCCAACCTTGACTCCAATCAGTGTGATGATATTGGATGTGTTGCTGACAGCTGTCCTGCCCTTAAAAAACACACACCTATTTTGGATTTACTGGGTTCAAGAAGCACTGTCTGATGTGAACCATGCCTCGCAGAAAAGAGCTCTCAGAAGACCTACGATCAAGAATTGTTGACTTGCATGAAGCTGGAAAGGGTTACAAAAGTATCTCCAAAAGCCTTGTTGTTCATGTGTCCACGGTAAGACAGACTGTCTACAAATGGAGAAAGTTTAGCACTGTTGCTACTCTCCCTAGACGTGGTCATCCTGTAAAAATGACTGCAAGAGCACAGCGCAGAATGCTGCATGAGGTAAAGAAGAATCCCAGAGTGTCAGCTAAAGACCTACAGAAATCTCTGGCACATGCTAACATTTTTGTTGACACATCTACAATAAGGAAAACATTAAACAAGAATGGAGTACATGGGAGGACACCACGGAGGAAGCCATTGCTGTCCAAAAAGAATATTGCAGCACGTTTGAAGTTTGCAAAAGAGCACCTGGATGTTCCACAGCACTACTGGCAAAATATACTGTGGACAGATGAAACCAAGATTGAGTTGTTTGGGAAGAACACACAACACTATGTGTGGAGAAAAAAAGGCACAGCACACCAACATCAAAACCTCATCCCCACTGTAAAACATGGCGGAGGGAGCATCATGGTTTGGGGCTGCTTTGCTGCCTCAGGGCCTGGACG